ACCAATTTTATAAATCATATTATGTACAACCTTATCCTGTGCTCTACCTTAAAGGTTTATGAATATATATTTTCTATAATATCCCAAATGCACAGATCTCATAGAAAATGTATTAGTGTAATGTAATATTTCATTTAAATTTACACAGTAGTTGGTATAAAAGCGGATTCGAATAAAAGGACCAGGATTTTTTTTGTATAAATACTAAATAACTACGTCGCGGAGAACCTAACGGGTTACCGGGGCTCCGGCTCGAAGCGCAGGAGAAGGAACGGGGTGGCTTTTAGTCAGTACGAGTCTGACACTCCCTCCCGCCTTACCCAGGCGGAAGCAGTCACTTGATGATACTCCCCCCTTAAAAAAAAACACTAGGTTTTTTCTCCTGTATCGTGGTTCGTTTACAAACCTACAAATATACAAATTCACATATATGTATACAACTCCCAGACCCGCAACAATAATTTGTCGATCACAAAAAGAGCTCCGTGTGGAAATTGAACCCGTGACATTTGTGCGGCAGCCGGTCGCCCAGCTATCGCACTAACCATGCCGTCTAGCTGTCTAGAATTAGAAGACCATTCGCTGCATTTTAGCAGTAAGATAATTTACTGTACCTTAAGTAAAACTGCTATATAATTGATTATATTACAATAATATTATGAATATGAAAGTTTGTTTGTTTGGATGTTTGGACCGTCAATCACGCTGAAACTACTGAACGGATTTTGATGAAATTTTTATACAGACAGGGTATGGACTGACTTAGGTGATAGGATTTTATCCCGATTAAATGCTCAGGAATATGTGTTCAAAGCCGCGGGTAAAAGCTAGTCAGAAATATTTTTAGCATCACCATTAACAACCCGTAAAAGTTCATGGGATCCTTACGTTATAGGTTATACGAATTGCAGGAGAAGGAACGGGGTGGTTTTTAGTCAGTAAGAGTATGACACTCCCTCCCGCCTCACCCAGGCGGGAGCAGTCATCCGATGATTTTCTCCCCTTAACAAAAAAAAGGTTATAGGTATCTTGTATATTTCAAAGATGGTTTAAAGGGTTCATATTATATTTTATCATAGAGTACTGCTGTCTAGTCTCTATCAATTGTGTAGTCCTTTAGTTAATTTCTATGACACCGTACAAGGTGACAAAATGCTAATTGTATATTATTATTAAAAACAAAAAAGAAATATAATTTCTACCAAGTGAAATAAACTTCAAAAATTGCGAAATTTCCAACACCCAACATAGTTGACAAAGCGCCAATAATTTGCATTAAAAATGCAATTCCAAGTAATGCTAATACGATTCATTGCAGAAACTACATTTATTTAAAACAAAAGAGAATAGAGAAGTACTCGAAGTGGCAACTCGTAAATATGAATAGTATTAACATTTAAAATTCAAAGTGCTTCTCATTATGCATTCACAATACTAAGATGTTGAAGCCCTTTAATATTTTCGCATATTTTAGGTATAGTTTTTAGAACAAAGACATAATAAATAATATTTCAGACGTAAGTAATCAATTTTGTACTTATTTAGTACAAGATAAAAAATTGTGCATGGCTGAATTTAAAATGAAGACTCAACCGCGCGAATAATACTTGCGCAAATATGTCTTTGAAAAATTAAAATTTTCCAAAAGAATTGACTGCTAAGCTCATTCTTAAACAGTTTAAGCTCAAAACTTTTGAATTATATATAAATACTGAGGGCGATAAATTAAAGCGACATGGTGCTTAAAATATCCCGAAATTTCGAATAACTGTACTTGAACTAAAAAGTATTTTAGCAGACATCTGGATTGCATCCAGAGCACTTCGAAATAAAAAAAGAAAGCAAGGTCAATATCTTGATTCTTTATAAAAATAAACGCTTCAACAATATTTATTATTGACTTAAATATTTATTTAGTTTTATTACAAAACTTGTTAACAATGTGAAACAGTTACTTTTTGTGTTTATTGTGACGATTCGTAAGTAAAAGAAAGCCAATACAATTATTCTGCTTCTCTTTTGTACCTAAAAAGACGTACACAATCTTAACATCTAATATCGACGCATAATAAAATTTTAGGATTATGATTAACACGATATGAACGTTAAATAGCTACACTGATTTGTGACTTATACTTTCTCTGGTATCTAACATAACATCACGCCTTTTGTCCCCGAAGGAGTAGGCAGACCTGCACATTATGCCATTGTACAATGTAACTCTAGTATCTTCTGAGGAAATAGGTTAAAAGAAACTATAATTACTAACGACAAAACTGGAGCGTAAACTACTACCATTTATTTATCATGACAATATTCAGTGAACGCATTCCAAGCTCTTATATCAAAACTAGAACAGATTTGCAAATCTGAAATATGCTTCGTGAATTTTCTTCCACGTTTCCATATTTCATCTGAGAGTAAGATTTTCAATTCCATTCGTCTTTTTGTTCTCGCTATAAACCATTAATGTCAACATATTTTTGCCACACTTGGCTTCAAAAAACTGGGGACCATTTGGCCGTGTTTACCTTAACAAACATAGGCTTATGTGTAGGTATACGTCATCATTTTCATTTTGGAAGATGTATGTTTTATTATTCTTGTAAAATAAATAAAAACGGATTTAGATGTAGACATTTCTTTTATATATCGCGCGTTGCTTGTGTTTTTATTCTTTGAAATCTCGCTTACTTTTTCGTGTTAGAAAAAGTTCTGAGTTATATGAGCTCCTATTTATTTCAATTGACCGATTACGTTCAACAATTTTTCGGGTTTATTTCTTTATCGTTACTAATTGTATGGTTACTTGGCTTCAAACAATTTATACGCACCTATAGCCACTGGGGACCCGTCTGTAAAGCTACGGATACAAGCCACGGTACTGACGCAGCGATCGAAAGCGAAACATCTCTAACTAGAGTGATCCCATTTCAGCATATTTCCCACGAGACATGAATTTGTATTCTATTCGTCTATTTGTCCTGGCCGTAATTCATTAGTGTCAGTCAGACTGCTGGCCGTCTCGAAGGACCAAAATAGTGGCTAAGACGTGAGCTTGCGGAAATGATTATTAGATGGAAAAGACAAATTGCACTTTTTTGGTTACCATCTATCCTACTTTATTAGGCTATAAGGATAATTTGACAACATTTTTTGCTGATGTAATTGATAGCAACAATAAAGATGATTTATTGGGTCCCGTGAAATATGCTTTTGTTTATTCGGTATCAATGTTTTGGTAGGAGAACTAACAATACATCTCAAAATAAACATCAGAGGTATTCGCACTCACTGTTACAATCTCTGGATGAAGTCTACGGAACACTGTAATGAAAATATCTACAAATTTACAAAGATTGCACCATTACTGCAATAAAACCCACGCCACGTAAACCATCTTTCTTTGTTTTCATTCACTATGATTTCAAAAACAAATTCCACACAGCAACAACTAAAGAGTTCCAGGAACACATTCACATTTAAAATAGCCTGAATTTGGCCTCAGTAGGTAATTTAACAAGAATATTAAACAAGGAAACGTCGCTCGGGTACTTTGACAATCTTTGTCGTAGAAATTGGCAGGATTCCAAACTAGTAACACGTGTTTGGTGCACGTTAAACTACGTAGGTAGTTCAACAATGTTTTAGGTGTAAGGAACTTTTTAGTGCAACGTGCATACCATGATAAGGTCATTGGTTTATATTGGACAACTGCGATTGATAGTCTTTTGCGATTTTAGGTGATCGTTGATAGATTAGAAGATAATACACGTGGCTTTTGTTCTTATTGTTTACAACGAAATCTAATTACTCACCTCTCACTCACATGGTCACCCCTATTACATTGGACTCATAATATAAATAGTGAAAAGTAGGTGTTACGTTGTGCAGTGGCAATAAGTGCCGAAATGCCTACCCCTTCGGGGATAAAAAGGCGTGATGTTATGTTATGTATGCCACATGTCTCAAGTGCAGAGAGTAAGGGATCTAAGATTAGATTACTAATTTGGACATTATATTAATGGCTTATTTTGGAAAATTTCCATATTATACCCGGTAGACAGTATTGTGGTTGATATTTTGATAATGATGGACAATGTTTATAAGAAACATGTTAATAAGTAACTTGTATTTAAGCATTATGTAGTAACGGTGGCGATTTACAGTTTAATAATTAATAAAATAAAAAACAAATATTTTTACTAAAATTTCGATTGAAATAATCATTCCCGCTTTACAATTGTAGATGTGGTTGAAATGTTTCACAATAATACTAGTGATTAATTATGCAATAATTAATTTACCCATTAACTAGAAACTAAAGGCAATAAAATATCAACTATGAAAGATTAACTAACGGCAAATTCTATCAAAGTTTCAGTATCACGTACACTGTTTAATTAATAACTACAACCAACTTTTATAATTTACCGTGAATGTCTAATGAACGTATGTAATTGTCATAATAAACTTGAATCGTTTTCTGTTTTTTCATGAGATAAGTCGGTAAACGAGCAGACGGATTACCTGATGGTACGCAATCGGTGTCGCCCATGGATACCTGGAACACCAGAGGCGTTACAAGTGCGTTACCGGTCTTTTGGGATTAGGAATTTGAGGATTGTTGGGGGGGGGGGGGTCACTTATACGACGAAATCCAACGCAAGCGTTGTTTCATGTGGGTTTTCCATGAGGCTATATAAGACTCCGGTCGAACCGGCCCATTGGTGCCTAAGCTTAGCTCTCCCATGCTTAAAAATGTTATGTTAACTCAACGTCATCACAATTATTAAACAGTCTATTGCTGGACTCTGAGAGAGTAAGAGTAATGATAAATAACATATTTCTAAAACCACATTTCTAAAAAATAAATCAAACAATTCGCAAATTCTAGACATCATATTTCTTTCCAAATTAAATGTCCTGTTTTACATTCAACATTGTGTTTGGCTAATATACCAAAAATGCATACCTTATAAAATTATTTTTTGTCCTAGGTGTTTGACCCTCAAGGTCGGTTCCTGAGGGCATTCGGTAGCCAGGGCACTGGTGACGGCAAGTTCAACTACCCATGGGGCATCACTACGGACGCTCTCGGATTTATATACGTCTGTGACAAGGAAAACCATAGAGTACAGGTATGTATAATGCGTCTGTTGGGAATTTTATATGACACATTATTAATAACATTGTTTTTTTTCAATTTTAAATGATGTTCTCCTTTTCAATCTTTTAATAAAAGTTTATTTTCTAACAATAGTCCATCGTAATCAACAGATATTTAGAACTTGTAGAAACCCTTAATTCTTTTTAATATTTGTCAAGCTTCTACATTCAGATACATTTAAATAAAAGCACAAACTATTAGGAACTTACCTCATTTTCTTTTCCCAGGTGTTCCAATCCGATGGTACGTTCGTTGGCAAGTTTGGTTCCTTCGGTTCCAAGCTTGGTCAGCTCGAACACCCCCACTACATCGCCGTCTCCAGCACCAACAGGGTCTTGGTGTCAGACTCCAACAACCACAGGATACAAGTCTTCGATGTCAATGGAAGGGTTCTCTCATCGTTCGGTGAAGAAGGATCTGAAGATGGACAGTTTAAGTTCCCGAGGTAATTAATTTTCATAATTTTTAGGGAAGATAGTCAAGATTACACGGATTATTAAAGGGATAACCTTGAAATAATTATAGTCATGAATATCTGTGAAGAGCTCAATTACTGTGTTCTCATCAATACAGATACTCTCTTAACATTTTTAAACTACACGTATGACAAAGACTATACAAAACGACAACTTTCATTAAAAATCCCCCTCTATTATAAAATGCTACACCAAATCCAAAGAAAATGAGGCGATTTACTTAACTAATGACTCCAAACATTAGCTCATAAACCTACATCCTTTATCAGCTTTTGAAACTGTAGTCCTAACGTGTGTTTCCAACGGTCCTATAAAGTGCGGTCGGTTGGACTTCTAATTTAGCTTTACGGGCTCTTAAATCCTTAACTTGGACCAAATATTTACGTTAAGAGCGATTCAAAGTCCATAAGTGTTGAGATGTTTGTGTTCACTAGCGGATAGTTTAGAGGCTTCGGTGAGGATATTGCTATCAATAATGGTTTGTAGTCTAAAGGTTATCCTATAACTATGTGTATCCTTTATCGAGGTCTTGAAGTGGTTAGTCAAAATTGCTTGTACGTCTCTAGGATAAGCGGAATTGAATTTGTATGCAGTTTAATATAACATTATATAAGTGACATGGACGATTTTAAAAATAGTAAATCAAAACCGTCGACCTACTTATTACATAAACCAGATCAGTTACATACTAAACTAATTTTGAGGCACACAAAATTCGGTCAAAGATCTTGACATCAACAGACAAGGCTGTCGGAAATATAGGTGAGAACATAGCCCAACCTTGTCTCAAAAAATACTCTTTCAAATCACTGTCCACGATAAAAGACAGTAGCAACCTTCGCTACAATGATGCCAATAATTTTGACCTGAGTCCAGACGCGCCTTGACCGACTTCGCAATAATAAAATATGACCGTTATATGTACCTACGTGGTCGACCGATGTTCTACAACTTTTCGTTTCAAGAACAAAATGACTTATACACGAATTATTGCTATTTTTATATCCACAAACCCAGTTGTAACCTCAGATTTTATTGGTCAAGAACTTGACTGTGATAACGTTATATTCTAGTAGCGTTCGCCGAAATGTGAGTGACGTTTACAAGCGTCTGAATTATGACGTTTTTAGTTTCGTACTTTGTTTCGGATTTTGTAGTGACCTAAATACTAAGTCTAGCCTATGATCCTAAATGGTTAACGAGGGTTTGACAAGAATTGAATGCTTTCATTTAGTGTAGAGGTAGATGATTTTAACTTTTATAGAAACGCTATTAGCTTCGTTTAACATTATAATGATAAGTTTAACGATATTACAATATCCAGATGACACCAATAGTATTTTGGATATTTTAATATACTTATGACATTGTATGTGTCTTTTTAATACATTTATATATTCAATGATATACACGTCACTTTTATGTAATAATAAAAAAGCATCAATGTACACGTATGCATTGTGTCTTGTCAGCACCATATATCGATTACAGCTGCGCACAAATATCTAATTGATCACCTTCATTGCTACATTAACTAAAAATCGCGGGTTATTCACGTGAATATACTGAGAAAAGCTCTTCGCGGCGATGCTCATGAGGAAGAACCCCTCTGTGGTTCAAAACTAGTAAAACTTTTCTCAGTATATTCACGTGAGTAACCCGCGGTTTTTACTTAATTTAGTATGTCTTTCGATAGTTATTATAAAAAACCATAATTGCTCTTGTATTTAAAGGCAAAAATACAAACAATTCTTTATTTCCATCTCCAGGGGTGTAGCAGTAGATGACCAGGGCTACATCGTCGTTGCCGATTCTGGCAATAACCGTATCCAGATATTCCACCCTGATGGTGCGTTCCTAAGAGCCTTCGGTTCTTGGGGATCTGGTGATGGAGAGTTCAAGGGTCTGGAAGGCATTGCCGTGATGTCTGGAGGCAATATCATCGTCTGCGACCGAGAAAACCATAGGGTACAAGTTTTTTAAGGTGAGAGAACAGAATAATTGCTTTGTGAATGAAAATAATATTATGAAATAAAATATTCAATCAATGAAATTAAATATTCATAAATGATATAAGAAGAATTTTTTGTTTTGTTTTAAGACTTTTACTGCCAATAAAAAACTGTTGAAGGTAAATCCTCCGCTAACGCCGGTCACCGGTGACCCCCATGGCGTTTAACGTGTTAAAAAATCTTTTATTATTTGTATTAGGAAAAGTAAAAGAAAAAAAACTAAATGATAGTTGATTGTGTGTATAGATAAGTTTTTAAAAATAATTTCAATTACTTATGTGATGTATACTAATAGTTTTCTTTTTCTATTTTCAGATGAACACCGTTATCAACTTGATACGATAATAATAATTTTCTATACTGAAAATACTTTTTTATACCAAATCACAATTATGTATTTAAAAATGTAAAATCATGTTTTTATTTAAATAAAAATAAACAAGCTTTCTTTTTCAACTGTCAGTTTCAATCGTTTAAAATCTTAAACAAAGAATATAAATAAATACTCAAAAACAAAATTTCATCGAAGTATTTTTCTCCTAAAAACAATGAAAAATTGTTAAACCAAAGAATTTAAACATCGATGCTTCTTATTGGATTGTAAGATTGACAAATAATCTCAAAAGGACTGAATTGATTGGGACGGCTCTTTTCTATTTGATCAAAATCTTAAATAACTGAAGGTCAGTCGATCAGCGTCGCAATTGTTATCACTCTAAAGATAGATGATCTGTCAATGGATGCCTGATTTCCCTCAGTCCTATCACTTATATCCAAATTGAAAGATATTGTATTAAATATTCAATGTTTGTTGGTGAAAAAATTCATAAAGTGTCTCAAAAAGGATTAATACAAAAAATCTTTTGTGATAGGCAGAAAAGTGATTCCAAGTCGTGTCACTTACTCAATGTAATCGAGTAATACGGTATGGTTATCCTGTTTTATGTTCAATCCAGTCGGATGAGTCTTCAAAGATAAAATAAACTTTACTGTTTGCCACAACAATCTTTCTTCCAATCCATCAAACATTTCGTAAAAAATACGCAACAAAAAATTAAATTCATACCAAAAAATTAAATACAGCATTTAAAAAATAATTATTAATAAATGTTTTTTTAATAAATTATACTTAAGCATTTATGAAACTGAGTTTAAATCGCAATGTTTTATTCAAATAGATATTTCAAGAAATATGTTATTCAAATAAAATATAAACAAAATGTAAATATAATGTATTCAATATGAACTGAACGGTAGGTAATAAAATAAACCAAAAAAATATTGCCATCCTCATTAAATGTAGCTTTTAGTAGATTTGTTTGCTTATACATTTTACTAGTCGATTTCAAATAAATATATTGTAATTGTTTTATTTAATTTTATTATAGCTTTTATGTGACTTTGAGTCATAGTAACGAAAATATATTATATAACATACAATTGAAATATATAGAAATAAATCTTATTTAATTGCCAAGACACGTGAATCTTAAGTTTTATTATCAGCGATCTAAATTATAATCCACCTTAAGCGCAAATTTATATAATAAGAATGTATACTTCGTATAATGTAATAGGTATAAATTATATCTGAATAGTACCTACGTCTAGTCTTAGCAGTAAATAATCTTCCTACGAAATGTAATGCTTACGAAATAAGGTATCCAAAATAATAAATTTGTGCCAAAAAAACGAAGTGTCGTATAAGCGAGGGACGCAAAGATAGCAGGCGCGACATTTTTCAAATCGTAAACGTACTGTCTCGAATAAATTTTGAAAATGTATGAAGTTAAAGTTATGTATTTTTTCGGTTAATATTAACATTTTACCCTTTTCTTTCACATAGATAATTTCGTTTTAGACGTTTTAAACGAACAATAAACTAATTAGATTTTTTAATAGATTTAAAAAAATATTTAGTGTGTTTTTAATACCATTCAACCCAAGTATATACTTATATAAATAAATCATACAGCCATAATTGAAAATGTTTTCATACATTTCCATAATTTTCTAGATGAAAAATCGCTCCTGCTCTCAATATATCCTCGCCTTTATTATTCCGTGCCGATATGAGAAAATGAAACGATATTATGTATATAACGGCACATACTTTTTACATTTGTCATAAGTTTCTGTCACTAAGAACACTTTATACTTTGGTTGGTTTATTGTGGAATAATAATAAAATTCAATAAAAACTCATTGGTTATTCAATGATTCATTACTGATTTCAAGTTAAACAAATGAAAGTCCAAAAGGCAAACATAAAAAGTATCGGTTATTCAAAAATTCAAAACTATGAATATTATTCGTAATTGAAAACTTCAATTAAAATGAAATATTCAATTAACAAATGAAATTGAAGAATAAATGGCACGTAATAATAAAATGATATGATTTATTTATTTTTTGTAGAAACAATAAATGTAATTTAAATGAAAATGTAATTAACAATTGCGCAGCTTTGCTTCTGTTTTATTAAAATATGAAATATTTTGTGTACATACATACTACATGTACTTGATAGATATATAAGAACAACATAATGTTGCCAAAGAGGACATTTTGTATGGTTTTCAAGTTTAAATAAACATGATTTGTTACTGAAAATATTCGTTTTTTATTTTTAATCGACTTTAATAATAAAGCAGGTTCTTAGTTACCTATACGTTTGTGTGCGATAATCTCCCGATTGGCTGTACCAATTTTGATGCAGTTTTCAGACAAACGTTTTTTAGTACATTAATTAACCGACTTAAAAAAAAACGGGATGGAAGATTGTTTCTTAAACGTACTTTATAAAAAAAACAGTGAAAATAATTATTTGACCAGTTCAGTACTTATGGCTGCCTAACAAGTGGTATTAAGTTCGATTGCTGGGTCAGATAAACTATTATTTTTTTATTCTTAATAATAGTAGTATGGAGTCTAGAACTGTGTGCAGTATATAGCAATAGGCCTACTTTCTACTACATGGGACTTAAATGAAAGATGACCTTTGCTTACCCAATAAGACAAAAACAAAAAGGCGTAACGTCGAGTTAAGTTTGTTTTTTAAATTGTACGATATTCATTAATTAGCACTCGATCTTTAAGCCAAACGAAGATTAATTAAAGTAAGCCTTTACAAGTGTCAAAAAAAGAAACTTTGAAGATTTTGATGTTTTAATTATTATGAATCTGTATTTGCGATAGCAAGTCAAAAACAAAATCCGTAGAGTGAGTTGAGAGATTTTTTCTAATTAAAAAATCAGTTCGAAAGTACTTATTGTTTTAATAGTAAATAATCTTTTGTAGTTAGCTAGCGGGTATGCGGACTGCCTCGTTAGCCGAGTGGTCGCAGGTGCGACTGCCGGGCAAGGGGTCTCAGGTTTGATTCGGTTGGGCAAAGTATTACTGGGTTTTAAAATATTGTCAGTAGTAGCACGGAGTCTGGAATTGTGCCCGGTATATGGCAATAGGCTCACCCCCTATTACATGGGACTCATAACATAAATAGTGAAAAGTGCGTGTTACATTGTATAGTGGCATTAAGTGCTGTAATGTGCACCTATGCCTACCGCTTCGGGGATAAAAGGCGTGATGCTATGTTATGATGGAATTAACCTATTAATACCTTAAAATAAACCTTAAACGCAACTTATTGGTAGTAAATTCGTTTAAATTTGCTCCTCCCATTACAAAATGGTTGCATGGCGGTTGCATTGATATATGGAGTTTGTGTAAGAGGTTAAGTAATGGGACTCTGTCCTCCGTGTGATAAATGATAGCGTTATATCTCCGTGACAAAGTTGATATGAAAATTTTTGAGCTCGTATTAAAGAATTTTTCATTAGGTCGTGTTGATGTTTTTTATTTGTGGCTTATATGAGATGGTTACATGGTTGCTAAGATATTATAATATTTTAAAATAGGGTATTTTTATAAGGATGGTATTAAATACTTTAACTGTAAATTTCCCTTTTTCAATTAAAAAACCAAAACCTAACCTAACCTAATATTCAACAATTTTTTTGCAAATCAGTATTTTTATTTTACGGTTCATTTTTTTGATATTCAGTAGGTTATTAGTGAAGAAATTTGGTTTGCTTAATTTTTTTAACAGAGGTGCAGTAAAAAAGTCAACTTTTTATAATAACCATCGTGAGACATACTAAATTAACTTAAATCGCGGGTTACTCACGTGAATATGCTGAGAAAAGGTCTACTAGTTTTGAACCACAGAGGGGTTCTTCCTCATGAGCAGCGTGCGCGGTCGCGGCGGTGTCGCGCAGCTTTTCTCAGTATATTCACGTGAGTAACCCGCGATTTTATTGTATACAGGGTATTTTTACTTTAGAGTACCTAAAGTGCTACAAAGAATTTTATGGTAATAGAATAGTAATAATATTATGAAACCTGAATTTAAAAAACATTCAAGTTAGATTACGATTACCAATCACCCTCAATGCATCTCTAACTACCCCTTTGGAGGAGAAAAAGGTGTGAGGTAATTTTTGTTCCTATGACAAATATCTACGAAATATTTTATTACATCATTTTCCGACTGTTTTCAATTTACACCTAAAGCTTTACAGTACTTACAATCACCAATACTTCAAGTGTGGGAGAGCCATGTTTCGGCATGAATGGGCTGGCGCGACCGAAGCTATACCATAGCCTTACAGAAAAACGACGTGAAACAACGCTTGCGTTGTCTGGGGAGGGCCCCAGTCTCTTCAATCCCCAAATCCCCTACAATCCTCAAATTCTCAATTCCCAATTCCCAACAGGCCAATAACGCACTTGTAACGCCTTTGGTATTTTAGGAGTACAGGGGCGGTGCCAAATGCTTACCATCAGGTGATCCGTCTGCTCGTTTACCGGTTTCATCATCAACAGCCTATAAATTCCAACTGCTGAGCACAGCCTCCTCTCACACGGAGAAGGTTTGAGCATTAATCACCACGTTTGCTCAATGCCGGTAGT